AGAGTATTTATAAAATTTTTTAATAAAATAAATTTTTTTTCTTTCATAAATATGTGTGTAAGAAAACCAATAATTTTTTGGAAAAATTAAAACATGTGTATCAATATTTTATCATTTGCATTGTACACATATTTTTATTTTTTAAAAATAGATATGGGTTTGGGATTTAATAAAATACGAATAGTGATTATTAAAAAATTTTTAAGTGAAATTTTTTTTAATGTTACCAACATATTAGAATATTTTAAGAGTTCTTTTATAACAATGTTTTAATTTATTTTTCTTAAATAAAATGGATTAATTTTTTTAAAAAAATAAAGTAATAAAAAACAAAAATGGATGAAATAACAAAAGTGGAGATGAAAATAAATTAATAAAGATAGCTAAGGAAATTATTTTTTAAATACCAAAATTAAGATATTTTTGTTAAATTAAATGATAACATATAATTAATTAATATCATTTTTTAACAGGTGCTGTGAGAGTATTAATCTTTTCTTATGCGTAATCGACTTTTGAACTTAAATTATTTTCACAAACCAAAAAATTATATTTTTAATAAATTTTAATTAATTTTAAAATTTTATTAAGAAAGTAAATTTTAATAGGTGGTCAATTACACGTAGCAAAAAAAAATTGGTAATAATTCCTTATGTTTTTAAATTCTCTAGCGGTCTCAAAATCATTATAATAGTTTGACGACTCTACTGAAGATTCATTTTTTTTAGAGTCAGGCTAAAAATTAATTATGTGTTATTCTTAATTTTGATTTAACGATCATAATTGGTATTTAACTTTATTTTAATTTTATTTTTTAAATGACGACAACAACAATAATAATAACAACAATAATAATAATAACAATAAATCACTTGCATTGCATTTTTAATTTTGTCACTTGTTCATTATTTATTTATTTATTTATTGTATATATTACCCTCAATAAATTAAGAGGTACTTGCACATATGATGATACATTGTACTTTATGCATGAACTTTATATATGGGCTTTGTCTCTTATAGGAAGAAGCAAAGTACTTATACTCTAGTGAAGTGATACCCTCCGTAATGACAAACAAAATACGTATATTCAAATTGAATCATTTTTGTTCATAGTTTGTCATAGGTGATGATCAGGGTGTGTTACTACTCTATAATGGACAATAATATAATGAATAATTTGAGAACTTTTAGATATATAAATCTAAACCTGGCATATAGTGAACCTTAAAAGCCTAGTCTAGGGTAGAGTTATATCAAATTCTTTTGTAGAAAATATCTGAATTATGACGTGTGAAGAAAATCTTTTTTATTTATGAATAATAAAAAGGTTATATATTACTACCAAAATTTAAACATAAATTTCACCAAAAAAAAAGCCTTTTATTTTTATTTTTGCTTAATTTAAATTATTATATGTTTATCTAAATTTTTGTATCTCTCATGGTTTTTTTTTAAATATTTTACAATTTAAATAAAAAAGTTGTAAAAAAATTGTTTTTTTTTTCCTAAAAAAATGATAAACTTTTATTTTTTCTAGAAAAGATTTGTTTTTAGATTTTTCCTCCAAATAAAAAGAAAAAGTGTTAAAGTCCAAAAATGCGTAGAATTATTTTTTTGTGATTTGTCATTTATTTATCCAAAACAGAAAATAAAAAAAAAAGAATTTTTTTTTAAAAAAATTCTTGAAAAAAAAAAGGTGGTTCAGTGAAAAAAAAAAAGGATTATAATTTACTAAGATTTTTTTATTTTATCATGTATATATAAAAATTCATTATTTATAGAACTCTTTTTAAGATCATGTATACATGAAAATTTATCTTGCTTCACCGTACACTTTCATGCATAAAATCATTGTTGCATCCATTTATATCATGCATCAATTATACATTTGTAAATAACATTTTTTTTTTTAAGTTTACACGCTAAAAGGATTTTGTAATAAAAAAAAGAGTATTAAGTTTTCCCAATTTTTGGGGTCATGAAAAATTTATAAAAAAAAACTCTTTTTATCATGGCATGAGTAAATAAATGAAACAAGAGCTTAATTTTGAAATTGTGGTAATAAAAGGTCCGATGATAGCTTAACCATCTAAGGTTTCAAATCAACTTGTCCACAATTTGTGCAATATTTAGAGTTAGGATTATGAAAAAAGAATGGACCAATAGGATAGATGAGATCTAGAAAGCACATGATGAAATAAAAGAACAACTTAATATGATTATGGAAATTATGAGAAAAATAGGCAAAATGAAGGAATTAGTGAAGAAATAAGCTACCCAAAAAGGATACCGATAGCAATATTATGATAATGACCCCTCATGTCCACCAGGTTTCACCTCACGTCAAGTTCAGAATTCTCGAGTAGTACAAATGTAATCTATGCCCTTTGTTGGAGAATATCCATCCACTTACATTGTCATGCTAACAATACATGGACCTACTCAATTTTTAGGGCATGTTGTTTCAGCCACAAGAATGAAGTCATCCTTGATTTGGATTACTTAACTAAACAAGAAAGGCTCAAAACAAGTACGATAAAAGTAAGATATGACCCAGAGTCCTAGTACAAAATGAAACTTATAGAAGAAAGACTATAGTCCATCAAGGGGATGGATATTTATGGATCAATGGATGCAATTGGATTATGCTTGGTGCCTAATGTGGACATTCCCTCAAAGTTCAAAGTCTCAGAATTTAAAAAGTACAATGAAAGTAAATACCTGGTGACACATGTCACCATGTATTGTCAGAAGATGGTTGTTCATGCCTATCATGATAAACTATTAATTCATGTCTTTCAAGATAGTCTCACAAAATCATCACAAAATGATATGTTTAACTGGATAGAAGTCGGATCTATTCGTGAAAAGTGCTAGTTAGGGCCTTTATCGTACAATACAAGCATATCATAGATTTAGCACCAAATCATTTGTCTTTGCATAATATGGAGGAAATAGCCACTAAAAGCTTTAAAAAATATATTCAAAGGTGGAAAAATGTGGCAGTTCAGGTTCAACCGCCCCTTACGGAGAACGAAATCATTGTCTTGTTTGTTAACACTCTTCGAACATCTTATTATGATAAAATGATTGGAAATGTCATGAAAAATTTTATGGATATGATAATTTTTTAAGAGATAATAGAGAATACGACAAATAGTGGAAAGCTTGATTCTGAAAAGGTGAAAGGAGATAGGACATCCAATAAAAGAGCTGTACAAACTGTAACCCATTGGGGGCAACAAGGTAAAGATTTTCCCCACATTATCCTTACTCAGTCTACCATCCTTATTATCCTGCCATAATCAATGCCTTATCAAATCTTTACCTATGCTGAGTAGATTTTCAAGCTAACCTCCAACCTCGAATAATTGCTCATGATTCAATCCTTGCATTTAGATTTATTACCCAACCAAGAAAAAGCCAAATAGATAAAAAAAAATAGTCAAGAGAAACTCTTTATCCCCATTTATGATCTTTTACCTTTGTTAGTAAAAAATCGGTACCTTACTTCTATGCCTTTGAAAACAAACCCAAATTCGTTGACAAATAGATATTATCCAAATGGAAAATTCGATTTTCACTTAAGGGCAACTGGTCATAACTAAAAAATGCAAGTAGTTGAAAGAAAAGATCAAGGATCTTATCAATGGTGGCACTGTGAATTTAGAGCTTATAAAACAATGAAAATTTACATTGTCTTGAGTCTAATTACAAAATTTGAAGATTTAAGAGATGAAAAGGAATTTTGGATCCTAGATGATTAAGAAAGAGTAACTTATATCGAAATATAGAAATATAAAAATTTAATATTTTAAAATAAAATTTTATCCGTTAAATATCAACATATTTGAATTTTGTAATGGATTAAGTTATTATTCAATTTCTAGTTTTATGCTTAAACAACATTTTAAATTTTAATCTAAATCTATTTAATCTGTGTAACATTTTTATTAATGAATAAAAAAATATTTTCTTTTTTTCTCTGTTCTGCTCACAGGTATTTTATTTGAATTTGAGGTAATTTATCAACTCCAAGTGTCCAACAGTTCCAACTTCCGTCATCTCAACAAGGAGTACTACACATAGTTGGAACTTGAAAGAAAACAACATAAAATCTCTAACCCCAAACTATCCCTCCATTTTTCACCCACCAATAATAATAATTTGTTAGTAAAAACCTATTTTGTCTTGTAATGAAGTGTGAAAAACACCATTCAACCACAAAAGACAGATCCATTTCATCCATTTATACGGCATATTGTGATATATCATTCCATGTGGGGAACTCTAATTTTTTTGGATTTTTCAATATCCTTCAATGACGATTATGCCCTCAAAACAAATAAACAATCCACAAATTACGCTCTACCTTTTAAAAAGACGGAGATTTTAGGTCATGTCAATGGATACATGCCTACCCTGGGCACCAAATATATGCAAACCAGATAAGCTGATAAATGAGGAGCCAGTTTTAAAACCAAATGTATGCGATGAAAAAAAGGAGAAAGCCAAGCTTCTAACCTAAATACACAGCCCAAAGAGGTCATATCCACGCGCCCATATATTTACCTTTGAAATTTAACACGCCCTTAACTGCGCGTATGATTGAAACCAAGTCTCAGCTCACAGAATCTGTATCCAACTATGGAAAATCCTGTGTACTAAGATTCTACTTACGTTATGCCACAATCAACGAACACGTGTGAGTCAAAGCAACCCAAAACCCACATTCATAAGTTGGGACGGTGATCAAAAGGGTACAGAAATTGTTCTTGACAGTAAGTAAAGTCTGTTGCTTTTTTCTACTTTAGTTTTTACTCTACAAAATAATTTTTCTAAGTTGCTCATTTGAATTTAACCGAATAAATTTATATGTCAATTAAATTTAAATATTAATTTTAATGAAATTAATTTAACATAAAATTTTTATTAAATTTTTTAATCATAATTATAATTATAATAATTTTTATTATTATTTTCTATCTCACTTTAATCAACCTAGCTTAATTCTAATACCAGAACTAAAACTCTTCTAAATCACACTAAACAAAAGAAAAGTCTTTTTAACACTTCTCTTCTCTGACCATTTCTCTTCGCTTTCTCAACCTTGCCTCTCTGCTCATTCGCTTAGCTCTCTTGAAAACTCATTGTGCTTTCGATGATGTTTCCTTTTTAACTTACACCGTATTATCTGATCTGGGTTTTCTCTATTTCTCATTCAGATCGTAGTTTTCAAGCAAAACTTTCCTTTACTCTTTGTTGGCTTCAGTCTTGAAAAACCATTGAAAGAAACAAAAAGAACAAAAACAAAAGCCAGCTTTTTCTTTGGGGGTTTCAGTAACTTCCTTGATTGGTATAATGAGATTATGAAAAATGGGATTTGTGTCAAAGATGCAGAATGTTGATATATGTTTAAAGGTGAGTTTAATTTTTCTTATTTCTTTCTTTGTAGATAGATAATAGAGTTATCTATGGAAATGAAGATAAAAAGCCCTTTATGTAAGTATTCTTTTATTGTGTTTGGCTTTATGAGAAGTTAATACTGTGTTTGGTGGTGTAATTATAGGAAATGAAGAATATATATAGCTATTCTGAATCATAGATTTCATATCTTTTAGGACTTCAGAATATGAAAAACTTTTGCTTTACTCAACCTTAGATTGATATTTCGGAGATGATGTGAGTTTTATCTTGGAAGGTAAGTAACATGAAATTTTCGAAGTTATGGCTTTTGTATTGATTTGGGTTTTCTCTATTGTTATTTGCTTACTCAAAGTTGAAGATTGCATGGAGTTGTTGTTGTTTGGTTTATGGTTGTTTGGATTTGGAGTTTGTTCTTGTGCACTCGTCGGGTTAAATACAGTTTAAATTTGGTTGATGTTGATTTAGTCTGCTGGTGTAGATTTCAAAGACCCTTTACAGAGTTGTCTTGCATCAATTTAATTGCTTTTTTCTTTTTCTATCCAATGATTTATGTCTTTATGAACTCTCTGATTGAGTTTTTTATGCTTTGATTTATTCCCAGAAAAGGTAGGAAAAGAAGAGGAATTAAAACAAGAAAATGCGTTTCTTATTAATTTAAAAGGGCAAAACATGCAGTTGGATGAACCATATAGGAGTTTCTGTTGTGGTTTAGGTGAGTTTTATTAAGTTTCTTAGAGGAGGGAACATTAATATATATATATATATATATAACCAGACTTGCAATTTCTTTTGTTAGATTTTTTGCAACAAAAGGTAAGAAGGGGTGGAAGTTTTTGTTGTAATGACTGAATGATTGCATGAATATTTTTCATTTATATTGCATTGCATCTTGTTTTTAGGCCCTGCCTTTCTATTTGATTATGCATGTCAACTGATATATATCAATTGTATTGTTCACATGATATGTATTTCACTTAACATTTAATTGGATTTGGAAAATGGAGTGTGTTATTTTCATTTTTTCTGCCTATTAATAAATCTGCTCTTCTTCTTATTATCATAGTTCATTTGTTACTTGATGTCGATTTTTTTTTTGGACTGAATCAATCTCTTTTTTTCTTTGCAGAAAACTTCTTCAGTTGTTTGAAATTGTTTTTAAAGTGCTTCTTTTACCATGAGAAGAGGTAGAGGAAAAGCAAAGAAGCAGACTGTTGTCCTTTCTCATGATGATCCTGGAAGTGGTGAAGATGAAAAAATTCCAGCATATAAAAGAAGAGGAAGGCCACAGAAGCAATTGAAGGATGATATTGAGGATGATGAAGTGGAGAAGACTGAAGAAGATGGTGAAGATGTAAAAGGTTCCATTCTTATCAAGGAGATGAAAAATCGGGCTGCCACAGAGAATGGAAGGAAGAGGAAAAGGTCAGTGCAGGCAAAAGAAAACATAGAGTCAGTCAAGAAAGAAAATGGCATTACAACTAATTCAAGCACTGATGATTCAACTAAATGTGTTGGATATCGACAAAATAGTAGCAGGCGCAAAAATAAGCCTCGACGGGCTGCTGAAGCTGTTGTTGAGTGCAAGTGAGGTTCCAGATAACCATCACCATGGATTTTACTTCTTTTCATACGTATCTCAAAAGTAATGCTTGTTTGCTCATGTATGGAGTCTGATGTTTCTTTTTGTCACGTTTTATTTGTTTTTGTAGTTTCTGAATTCCATTTCACTAACGGATAATTTGGTTGGGAGTTTTTTGATAAGTTTCCAGTGCGTGCTTGTAATATTCCATGGTGTTACCGCAGATTAAAAAATCATTTTGCTAGTCTTTTGATAGTGGCATTTTAACATAATAGAGATTTAAAGGTGTTACTAATGTTTTTAATTCTAGAAAGCAGAGAATGAGTGCTTTTGTGCAGGATTTTCTCTTTTTCCGTTTGGGTACAAGGAGAAAAGCCTATGATGCAATTTGAGGTTCAGGGAGGGAAAGGAAAGGAAGTCTTGAAGTCAGAAAACCGGCGGAGTAAATGTGCTTGTATATGTTGAAGAACTAAAGCATTGAGCAAATGGCGCTTGTGAAAGGAATGCCAGATTCTTGTGAGTTACTTATGCTAAAATGGTTGAAATGGCTGCTAAAGGTTTTTCTTCTTTTTTTTTTCCCTCTAACAAACTGTTTTCACATTTACATACAGGTTAAGATTCCTTTCTGAACTTTGGTAAAGAAGATCAGTTGATTAACAAGGTGCTGTAGTTTTTCCTTTTTCTATGCTTCTAAGCCCCTTTCACTGCAAGGTATCTTTTAGCTGTCGGCTATAGATGTAATGATTAATATCATTAGTTTGACACATTTATGGAAGAAATCTCTTATATGCGTAAATCATGCCATATTCATCTTTAGTAGAAACTGAATATCATCATTATTATGTAGCATACACGTAGAAAATAGATCTATTTATTCACACATCTCTGGTTTTCTAGTCCAATAGCATCGTTTTGCTTTTTCATCCATTTTGCATGTTTCTTTGGTTTACTTCACTTTACCTAATGGTAAATCTGGATAGTGAGCTTTATGGATTATGATTGAAATTTTATTGAAAATCTCTTATCAAACACTCCTAATGAAATCTATAATACTAAACCTGTATTAAAAACATAAAATTTTGTTGGTGATAAATGTTTAAAAATTACAGAGAACACAATGTTGGTTGTTGCTATTAACTAAAAAGAACCTACATTTGTTGTTCTGAATTGAGTGCTTCCAAAGGTATCGGATAGGCTGGTTCTTGTATTGATCCTCAATTCTTCGTAAACAAAAGCCACCTGTTTAATGGTTGTGTTTCCATGTTTGGTGACTGTGAGTTATGACGTGTGAGATAGTTTCAACGTGTCAACAACAATTAACTTTTTTTTTTTTTTTGCAATGGGTTCCTGCAACTGCAAATGTCATTGAGAAGATTTACTCACTTATCGAGGTAAATTTCATCCATCATCATTCATTTTTTTAATTTTAGTTTCACTTTAATTTTTAATTTTTTGAATTGTTTTATTTGGTTTGACCAAAAAATATTGTTTTATTTGAATTTTAATTTTTAAAAATAATTTATTTCAGTCTTTTTCTTATATTTTCATTAACAATTAAAAAAAAATCATGTGGCAATGTCCACATGACATGAACAAATAACTAAAATGAAATCATTTTACAATTGTAGAGATTCAAATAGAACAATTCAAAGATTTCCAACTAAAGTGAACCAAAATAAAAAGTTAAAAATCGTAGATGAAATTTATTATTATATATATATATATATATATTTCGAATATAAAAGTTGCAAATGCGATCTATTATTCGTATGTGATTGTTAACATCGCAAAGATGATTCTGGTCTATCATCTATGGAAGTAAAACAAAGGGAATGAACTATTTTTGTTTACCCGATGTTTTACTTATTTTTAATTACATAACTAATAGAAGGTAATTTTTTTCATCCTATAAAATATAATTTTTTGAAGTTATATTTATCTATTATTAATATATGATATTATATTTTGTAAGTGAATTATATTATGATATATCGTAAAAAATATAATTTTAAATATATTTTTAAGATTAAGTGTATATATTTTGAAAATTTTGAAATTAGTTTTTTATGAAATGTCATATAATATATTGATAATGTATAATATTTATATATTGAGAATTCATTAAATATAATTTTAATCTTTATTTCTTCTAAAATTTGAACTTTTAAAAGATAATATTTAAAAATTTTAAGATTTAAATTTTAATATTCATAATCATTCATCGCTGAGCCGTTATATTTTTTTATAAATATATATATATGATAATTGAAAACCAATTAATGTATAATGAAGCCCCCCTAGCCCAACTAAATTCATGAAGTTGAAAAGAAATGCATTCACGTTTTGCTTATTTTTGTTTGTTTCCAAGATGATCTTTGATGAAATGATTCATAAAATGAATTATATAGTGGAAAATCCTAGGTAGGCAAGTGGCCTACTTGGGGAACCTTCAGTTGATTCGAAGAGTGCAAAAAAAAATCTTCCTCAAAGCAAACAATAAAAGTTGGTAGGGACCATGAAGCTCTTTTCCCTGTTTAGACATTTTATTTCTGTCACAGCCCATGGATGTGGGCAAATAATGAGTAACTAAGGACTAATGACCTCCCCAACCATTTAGCATCAATTACTGCGAAACAAAAGCTTGGTCTTCAACTGTTTGGTTTAATGATTAAAATAATTTTTTAAAAAAATATTTAGATTAAAATTAAAATTAAATTTTTTTCTCTTAATATAAGATTCTGTCCTTATTGAATGATAAAAAAAAAAAAAAAAGGTCGTTACTGTAAATATAGGAAAACCCTAACGGAAAATGGCGTTCATATTATTATGCCTCTCTATGTATATATTCACAAATATTTTTTGCATGGCAAAAAGGCATTAAGTACTTGGTTTGAGATCCATGTACTGCTTTGTTTTTTCTTTTTTTTGTTTTAATTTGGTAATTGAGATCGATAGTTCCATTTCCTCTTCCTTTTTATGGAAATCCTATCTAGTACTAAGCAATCGATTGCTGATGATCTAGAATATCCGTGTACGTATGTTCCAAAAATGCCATTTTAACTGTTAAAATTTGAAGTTTTGTTTAGAAAGTATTGAATTTGAACCTTAAAATAAATGAGATAATATGAAAGAAAGTTAAAAACTCTATTTGGCTTGAGGAATTTTTTTTTAAATTTTTTGTTTTCCAAAAAGGTATTTGGTAAATAAAAATAAAAATTATTTTTTAAAAATGTAAAAATAGGGAAATAAATAAAATATTCAATAATATTATTATTAATGTCATCTAATTATAAATATAATATATATTTATTAATTAATGATATTAAAAAGTGTTCAACTATGATAATTTGCAAAACATAAAAAAAAATTAATGTATATTCTTTATTTTCACAAATAAAAGCATCCTTTTTTTTTTAATTTTCATAGTCAACTCATTTTTATTTTTGTTTTCTATAAATTTGTTTTTATTTTAAATTATCAAAGACGTTTTTACTCATATTTTTATTTTAAAAAAAAAAAAACAAAAAATGATTTTATTTTTTAAAACCAAATACTACTTTAATTATTTATCCAGTTCTTATTAGCTTTTTTTTTTTTAAAATAAATTCTAATTGGCTTGTCTAGTTTACTTGAAACATAGGTAAAATATCCCTTTATGAAAAATAAAAATCACGTTTAAAATTAAAGATGATATTTTCGTAATAAATATCATTTTAATGAATTAAGTATTGTTAGCTCATGTTTGATGTATAAGATGATAAATAAATAAGATGATAATTATTTTATATAATGTTTGATTTATATTTAAAAAAATGTAAGATTATAAAGAGAATTAATTTTCTTAGTATAAAATAATTTAATCTTTTTAAAATTGAGAAGATTATTTTTAATTTATGAGATTAAATTTACATATTTTATTATACTTTTAAAATTATATAAATAATTTAAATTGTATAAAATAAAAAAATAAATTTACTCAATAAATAAATTATTTTATTATAATATTTATACATATCAAATATAAATAAGATAATATTATTTAATATAATTTTATTTTTAATATAATATTATTTTATTTTATCATATTTTTGTGTATAGAAAACATCTTTAATACATTATGCAATATTTGTTTATAATAAATAAGAGATAACATTTCCATGTGTAACTATGATTAATTTTTGGAGCAATATTTCGATATTTTTTATATTGCATGTTATAACTTGTTAAGAAAATAAATTCATATTCACTGAGAGTTATATTGGAACATTATAACCCTAAAATTTTTCCAGTTCCCTCATGCATCATGGTAGAGGTGTCATAAATGGATTTGGATAAGATCAACTTCATTTGATACATTTAAAAATTTGTTCAAAATTTGACTCATTTGTCTATTTAAGTATATTTAAATTTATTATTCAAATATTAAAAATTATATTAATATTTTAAAATTAAATTTAAATAATAATAATTTAATAATAAAATCTTTCATAAATCAAATTGAATTTGAAAAATCTTTCACCGCCTATACATAAATAAAAAATTTCCATTAAAAAAATTTAAGTTCCCTCTATAAAAAATGGATTTGAAATTTTCATTTAAAAAATTATTTAAATTCCATTTATTTCGCTCAATTTTTTTAATGGGTGGCCCAAAAAACTCAAATTTTAAATGAATTTTTGCTCTCAATTTTAAAAAGAAAAGAAAATGAAAGGGTTTATAATTGTCTGCTTTCAGATTTGATTATAGCTCCAGCAGTCAATCCCAAAATAGAGTACTAATTTTGGCGGAATATTTTTATTTTAAGATTTTATTTTCTCTGGTGGGATTCTCCCTACCATTATCCCTCTTCCGTACTGATTGCGAGTGTCGGCATTACCCATTACTGGTGATTGAGGATAGACCTATGATTTGACAGTAAAAAAAGAAGAAAAAAATTATTAAATAAAAATTTTAGAAAAAAAAACTATTTTTCATCTTTGGATCCATATTCTTTTTCCATATTTTATGGAAATATTCTTTTTTCCATAATAATCCAATAAATTTGGAAATCTGACATCCATCAAATACATGGGTCCATCAGAATAGTGCGCAATAAAAATTGGCCAGCATCCATATTGCATTGGGTTTTTTTTTTTTTTTGGCTTTTCTCCTTTATATTCTAAAGATTTTCGAGTAGAAAAATGATTAAAGTTTAAGTCCAATCACGTAATCATTGCCTTTTGAACCAAAAAAATGTGTAAATAATTTTTATTTTTATTTTAATTAATTTTTAATTTTTTTTTAAAATTCATTTATCTGTTATGTCAAAGTGGCCATATCAACAACCACGTCAGAAGGTTTTATCCAGCCATAGAATCACGGATGAAATATGGGAGTTACAATTAGACCAAACAGGTTTTTCATTCACTACTTAATCTTTCTGCTCTTTAGGCTCCCTTCAGATTCATAAGCATCGGAAGGTGCAGTTACCCCTTATTTTTGGATTCAAACGACCAATGAGAAATTTGTCAGTTATTCATTGGCCCGTTTTGGTTCGGTGATCAACAGGTGTTTTATTTTTATTTTTATTTTTCTCTTTTACCCTTAAATATTTATCTTCAACGTTTTAATCTAACGACAAAAAATATCTTAAGAAAACATAAAACTGGAGTGTGACTTTAGTCTCCTTCTTTCCTTTTATTATAGGGTTTTATCTCCTTTTAAAATAAAAAAATAAATATAAATATAAAATATGTTTATAATTTAATTATTTTAATTTAATTTTATTTTTATTTAAAAATATTGTTTGATGTATTATTATTTTATTAATTATTTATTAATAAGATTATTGTTTAACATGAACATAATTTAGTAATTTTTAAATTATTTATTAATTTTATAAGTGTAAAATAATTTAAATTTATATATAATTTTTAATCTAATATCTTTAATAATTATTTTTTATTTTAATTTATTTTATCATTATCATTATTTTTACATTCAAATATATATATTATCATTAATTTTATTTTTATTTTTATAAATATTTTTAAATTTATCGAAATTAATTTGATCATCAATCTAAATAAACTCTTAATTATATCTTAATTTTTCTCATTTTTTTTCAAATGTATTTTGTGACTTTAAGTATTAAAATATATCGTGAAATATTAATTTTCACGTATCTATTTTTTTCTCTATAATAAATCACATATATATTTTTTTAGCCTTTGATGAACTTTTTGCTCGTCAGATCAAAAATTATATCAAACATTGTCTTAAAAACGGGTCGCTCTCAGGGCAATACCACTAAAATTATTAATGGTCCATCATAAATAACAAGTCTCGTAGTGGCTGTTATTGTCCTTTCAAATTTGTATTTATTTAGGATGTTAAGAATGTGAACGAAAACTCTTTATTTCTTTTTGTACGGACAATCAATTTTAGATTTGTGAATGGTCTTCCTAATTATGCCAAGAGGAGAAAAGGGGAAAAAAAAATTCAAAGAGGAAATAGATCACTGTAATATAGCAACCGTGAGCTCCCTAACTTTGTTTTTTGATGTGCTTCCTACGAGGGAGCATGACTTGTGGGATTGACAATAATGACCACAATGGTAGGTTTTATGATTGCTTATATTTGTTTGTTAAGTTGGGTGAATTATTAAGAATAATATTTTAATATTTTTTAAATAAATAAATTTATTTAGGGTTTATGCCCCTAATTATTACTTTTCTTTTACTAATCTAATTTGATTAAAACCCAATTTACTTGGCAAAACTTTAAGTTAACATGCCTAATAATTTTTGTGTTAGGTACACCATCTTTAATCTTACACTTAGACTTACTATTCTTAATGATGACATTCACTAAGAAAACTTTATTAACACACTGATCTAGAAAAGAAAGTTTATCAATCTTGACTTTTCAATTAACCCTTCACCTTACGACCCAAATGATGTGCCCCATGCATCAATCAGAGGAGCACCCCCCAACTATTCCAATGTCTTTTTCCCCTAAGACTTCAAACACATAAATAAATCAAAAGAAAAAAGAGCTGACAATTAAAAAAAAAAAGAAAGAACAAAATTTTCTCTTCTTCCTTTTTTTTTTTTTTTTAAATGACAGCTTACATTTTAGTGGACGTAAAGTAAGTTGGCAACCATACAAGGAGAGCCATTGAATCGTGCTTTTGGGTAGTGAGGTAGATGGGATACATGGTTTGGCTTGTATTTATAGATTTATGGCAAAATATTGATTGTAGGAGCTTGATTTGTGAATATCACCACCCATTTGAATAAGTCAAAGACTTGGAAGTTGGGTTATTTTTTTCTTCCTGAGCATCGTAGTACTGTGGAATGAACAGATTGGATGATATTTTTTTCTAGGTTATTTATTGGATTAAAAAATAAAGGCGCAAAAATCGAGGAGCTCAGGAGCATATGAATTACTATTTCGGTTTTACAACAATTTTCTCAAAAAATACTTACCAACCTCCCCCTTTTTTTTTTTTTTTTTTTTATCTTTCTAAAAGAGTAAAGACTGTGCCAACCTCCGTTTCTTTTGAGCTTTATGTTATGTATTTAAAGTATTTTATGTTCAGGTGAGAGACAAAGTCCCTCAGAGTGTGCTATACTTCCCTCGCTGGAATGGGCCTGTTTTAGTGTCAGGTGTCTAACTTTTCACTCACTCTCTCTCTCTCTCTGTCTATCTTTTCTTCCTGTGTACTTTACTTTTGTTTATCACTTTATTTATTTATTGTTTATGCTTTTCTTTACTATTGCTACTGTATAAACTTAATATAAATCTATAAACTAGAACTAAAAAAAACCAAAGAAACCCATTTTGTTTCTCTTCTTTTGGTTAGTGTGTGCACGGTGAGATAAGAAAGATCACATTTCCATGACCCAGAAAAACCCCATGAATGGGCACTAGGCAGAGCTCATGGAAATGGGTTCGGGCTCTTTGACAGATTCAGGTGGTTCTTCTACCAACTCTTCAACTGAGTCACTCAACGGCTTGAAGTTTGGTAAAAAAATATACTTTGAGGATGCAGCAGCTGCTGATGCTGTTGGTGCAACCATGGGGACTCCACCCAAGTCAGGTCCCGGGTCTTCAAGCTCATCCGGGTCGGGTAGGAAGGTCAGGGTTGGTGGAGTGGTGCAAGGTGCTCATCCTCCAAGGTGTCAAGTAGAAGGGTGTAAAGTAGATCTGAGTGATGCTAAGGCTTACTATTCAAGGCATAAGGTTTGTGCTATGCACTCTAAGTCACCTAAAGTCATTGTTGCTGGTCTTGAGCAAAGGTTTTGTCAGCAGTGTAGCAGGTCAGCCTTCCAAAAGCCTCCAACTTTACTCTCATCTTTCTCCTTTTTACTTTCAATTTTTTAACCTAGCTTTGTTTTGATTGGTTTTTTTTTTTCCCTTTTTTTTTTTTGCATTATGGTAGTTTATTGAGGAGCTTGTTACTTAGTTTTTTTGTTAGTTAAAGTCCTCTTTCTAGCTAGTTCTGAAAGCTTTTTTTCTTTCCTTTACTTGTATCAGTCTTGGTGGCTTTCTGTGTTACGCTTTAAAGTTTGTTACTTTCTGCTATTTATTAGTCCTTTTGAAGTTCTTTGTTTAGTGGGAAGGGATGTGGTGGCTATGAGTTATGAAACTGTTTCTTGTGTTTGTAGATTGTTAGTTGTTCTTGATTTGGACGGTGAAATTTTGACTTTCTGACTTCTGTTTAATTTAATTTGGACTCGAGTACTATAATTATCTTGTTTCTTTGTTTTAAATTCTTATAAAGTGAGGAATGGGGTTGTGGTTTCTTAGTTGCGTTTTTTTTTTTTTTGGCTTGATGTTCTTGGCTCTTTGTGTTTGGATTTGTATGATGGAGTCGATTCTAGTGAAGGTTCTGGACGTTATTGGTTTTGTTTGCTTGCTTTGGTAATGTTGCCATAACGTTTTGGTGCTTTCTCTTTGTCTTCTCTTACATAATTTTGTCATGATCCTTGGTTTACTAGTTTCATGGAAGCTAGTATTCTTTATACTCTCTCTGTGGAGACGTGCATAGATGTACATGGAGCTTACATAAATGTAATTTTTGGTTAATTATTTACTTTTGGCCATTTAGGTAGGCTGATTACATCTTTCCTTAATGTTCAATGATTTGTGTTTTTCAGACATATGTTGGAAGCTATCCAGTTGTTTCTAATTTTACATCTCTATCTCACTCTTTATTGATTATTAGGAATATAGATAAGAATGTTATTGGATGATTGTGTACTATATTGCATATAATTTCACATACTAGGTTGCCTTTCCCCAAATACAGTTTGGCTATCAAGATTCGGTGTGATTATTTATTTTCCTTTAAACTAATATTGCTTTTATATTAGCAACTAGAGATGGTGGCAATGCATAAACTATTGTCTTAAAAAGTTTTTTATGCTGAGATGGCGCAGCAATCACATAATAAATTTTAACCATCTTTCATTTTTTGTTCAACTTCTGGTTATGGAATTTGCTTTTACTTATTTGATAACTGGTTTTTCATTTCTGTTTAAAAATCACATATGGCATCCATTATGTACCCTCTTCTTTATAAACCAAATAGCATTGATAACCAATATTGTTTTTTTTAAAGGCCAAATGAGTTTCAATAGGCTCAAGTCTTTATAACTGTATTAGAACTTGAAATCTGGCACGTCAACTTTGAATAAGGGGAGAAGTAAAACCAGGAAAAGGTTATCCGTGATCTTGAGAAGACCTCTTTCATGATTCAATTTTCTCTATAGATTTTTGGTTGTTATTTCCTATGTTTGTCAGGGTTGTTTCTAATTATGATATAAGTGCGCCTATTGCACCAAGGTCTTAATTGTTTTTACTCCTATCATCCCTATTTCTAATATGCTAAAGCATGCACTGGGCGGTTAACTTATAAGTTATCTCTGTTCCTTATCTTGTGTCCTTCAGACTTATATTTATTTCAATTTTTTGTGCTGTATATATTGCCAGTAACTGTAGTGATATTATTTTTCTGGTCTTGTTGAATGGCTGTTTAAAATTATTTGGATTGCATGTTTCCTAAAAGTTTTTACCTGTGTTGTGGTGAATCTGTCGCTCTACCATACTTTTATTTGGAGACAGCATATTTTCTATTATACTGAAATTAAACATGATTGTATGGCGGAGATTCATGGGATTAATATATTCATTGACACTTTAACAAAATTGTGCATTTAAGGAAACATGGGTTTTATAAAAAAATAATCTAGTTGGCTATGTAAGTATGTCCATATAATTAAGTTGGAAATAACTGAATGATATATCTTGATCCTTCAGTTGCAACCCATGCGGTATTTTACGTGGTGCACATTTTGCTGCTTTCTTAACGTTTTAGTTAAGCAAAAGTATGCCCTAGGAATGGTAGATATGAATTATTAGAAAGTTTATCTCACTCTGTGCTTCAGAAAGGCTTGAGTGTCTGTGTAACGTACATTGACAGTTAAAATTAATTACTCTAGAACTATTTGAATTTGTGCTTCCTTACGCTGCGAAAGGCGTGTCTTGTTATGCTCACTAGAGTTGTAATTGCTTATAGGAATCATGTTTTTCTTGTGGTCCTGTGTCATAAAGAAGAATTATCCTTGTTGTATGCCCATCTATTTCTAGTTCTTGTGGGCTTGATTTCCTGTGCAATTAAATTTGGAATCTCTTTTTGTGTCAACATTAACATCTTCTGTTGTAGTCTCTATTCAGATTTCATCAGCTTCCTGAATTTGACCAAGGGAAACGGAGTTGCCGTAGACGGCTAGCAGGTCACAATGAGCGACGCAGGAAACCACCACCTGGATCATTATTGCCCTCTCCTTATGGCAGGCTCTCTTCATCTATTATTGGTTAGATCATGGTTACTAATTAACTTTAGAACTTTCAATTGTTTAGTCATTGCAAGAAGGGAATGACATGCAGTTCTACTATTTGTGTAATAAATTTGGTGTTCACATTTGATGCTTATGGTACAGAAAGCGGCAGTAGAGGTGGGAGCTTTATCATGGATTTCACAGCTTACCCAAGGCTTTCCGGAAGAGATGCGTGGCCAACAGCAAGATCGATGGAGCGTACACCTGGAAATCAAAACATGGCTATGGGAAGGTCACTTCCACATCCATGGCAAAACAACTCAGAGAATCCTCCGCCTGACCTTTTCCTTCATGGGTCGCCTGGTGGGACTGGTTTCTCCAGTACTGCAATTGCTCCGGGAGAATGCTTCACGGGAGTTGATGACTCAAGCTGTGCTCTCTCTCTTCTGTCAAATCAACCATGGGGCTCCAGAAATCGGGCTTCGAGTCTTGGGGTAAATGATATGATGAATACCGAAGGATCTTCTCTGGCTCAACTAACAACGCCTCATAGTGCAGTTGTGAATCCTTATTCAAATGCCTCTTGGGCTTTCAAGGGCAATAACTCTGGTAACAGCTCTAATGAGATGCCCCCTAACCTGGGTTTGGGCCAAATCTCAGAGCCTGTTAATAGTCAATTTTTTGGCAGGCCTGAGTTGTCTCAGCAAAACAGGAGGCAATATATGGAACTTGAGCACTCCAGGTCGTGTGACATCTCCACGCAGCATGTTCACTGGTCGCTCTAAGTTTGTTGCGCTTCTCTCTCGTGCATGTTGGCCAGTTTTTGTGCCAAGATCTTATGTCATGTAATGACTTGTGGTGTTTCGGGCACCGGATTTTGTGTTTTGATTGAATAAACCCAAACTATTCCCTGTTTAGTGTCGGCCTAAGGTTGTAACATGCTGAATGGCAAGGTGTTCCGCTTGCCTAAACTAATTAGCGGTTAAACAATCTATCAATGTATTCCCCTGCATTTGTCATTGCTGCTGCCTGAATCAGTAGGCGGGAGTTGGACAATGTTTTGGTATTTAGTTATGATGCGTCATAATATGTGTTCTACAGACGGAACTTCATTAAGATCAAGAAGTATTTTGAAAGTTCTATGTTTGGAATTTCAATGCAGTAATAGGTTTCAGTCATGTATTTGAGTTCTTGATCAAGTGTGATTATCCTTAACTGAATTTCAAGAATAATATTTTGGAGATTGATAAGGTTCTTATCAAAGTATTGACTGACTTTGTTTAACTTATGTTCGATTCTGTACAGGTATGAATTCTGCTGGAGAGAATTTTCAGTTTGTCAGTTTAAAATTGCTTCAGCACGATAAACACTTTTTTGGTTTTCATATTCATCTTTGTCAGTGGGAGTGAGGATTTTTGGAATGTGTTTGTATTGGTCTGTATGAAATTCTTCAAAAGAGGGAAATTTGAGCTTGGATAGGTTGGTTGTATCATGGAGATTTGTGGTAAAGGTTGGGTCAAATTTTGGGTGGAATTTGATTTTTGTGTGAGTTTATTTGAGAAGGTTGGAGGGTGTGGTTTGTTTTTTTTAGGATAGATGACATAATAGTCAAACTTTTCTGAGGGTTCACCAAGGAGATCAACTTCAAGGTTTCCATTTTCATATCTTTCTTTGACTTTTGTTGGGAAGACTTTTTTTTTTTTGCTTCTTTGGAATATCATCATCATCATCCAGGAAGCTTTTATCTGCATCGATCTGGCATTCTTTGCATTGACAATTTATGTCCTAATAGCAATGTCTTTCTGGAGATTTATATGTATACACGGGATTTTCATTGAACTGAAAGTGTGTGACTGGAACATCAAGGAGATCAGCATGACATCTTTGCATCATGAACTGGGTTAGAAAGATTGTTGGAGGAGGAACATCATTTCCTTTGCTGTGATCAAATTCAATTGTGACAGTACCATTCTGATTTGTCTTGTAGGTTGGATCAAAGTGTTCGATCGGTTCATCTTGCTTCCAAATCTTTTGATAACTTGTCGTCCACGTCTTTGGGAGAAGGGTGGCAAGTTTTTCATTGGAAATTTGCTTTGGAATATGAACATGTCTAGGAGTTCTGTCTGCTGTTTCCATTTTAACAAAGACTGCATCACTGGAGTGTGAAAGAGGTAAGTTAATGACATGATCTTGAACTCTATATGCCATTTGGTAGTGAAGGGTTGCTTGGAGGCCTTTCATTTATGTGCCTACGATCTGGACTTGAACTTTTAAAGCATCTAACAAGGTTGGATCATGTAGAGACATATTGTAATTTGAGAAGACTGTGAAGAAGACAGTTCCTGCATTGAGTGTCGTCTCAACGATTTCAAGGACTGCATGCTTGTAATCTTTAAATCTGGTGTCCAATAAGGCCATTCTGGTACAGACAGGAATTTCATTTGTGGAAAACTCAGATTGGTAATCAACTACAAGCCTCTTAACATTTTTTTTGCAGATGATAAGCTTCCTCTTCCAGACAGAAAAACTTTGTTCGCAAATTTAGCAAATGCAAAAGTCTTCTCAAAGTTTGATCTCAAAGCAGGATTTTGGCAACTAGGTATACATCCACAGGACAGATACAAAACGGCGTTTTGCATTCCTCTTTCTGCTCTGATACCATTTATGATACCATTTCTACCATTTCTATACACAGCGGTAGGTAGTACGACCAAGGCTCTGGCAACTGACACGGCTTCAGTTTCGGGCTCTCCGGGTGATAGAGTTCTGACAATACTATCTGGTACTATGACAACAGCGTGTAGATCGATCAAACTTGACAAGATAATACCAGCGATAAGCTTTCCATAGATCAGACATATAACCAAGGTATTCTAGCCGGTGTTCAAGACTCTGATGCATTCTTGGCTTAACGTCGAACTGGGGGCCTGACTTTTATGGAGATATGTCTTTCACTATAGTAACTTACTATTAGTATGATCTTGGGGCGGTATGACTTTTCTTTTGCTGAGAGAAAGGGATCAATGATCTGTTTAACAGATTAACAAGAGTTTCTGATGCAGAGGATCCATAATAATATGACAACTGCAGAGCATACTTAACTTGTATCACTGTAAACTTTGAATAGATTGAAGAGAATGATGAACCTAAAAGATGTAACTATGAAAAAAAAAAGATGGAATCACCAAAAGAGAAGAGAGGTTTTTAGCCAAACATATTTTATAAGGGAAGGTTTTCTTACAAGAGGTAGGTTTTTCGAGTCTTGCTTGATGATTACTTCCTAGAGAAGTATCATTCTATTTATACATGAAAAGTAAAGGACTAGTAGCCTAATAAGACAAGACTAGGACAAAGTAACTTTACAAGTGGCTTAGGATAAGACTAAAGGATGGTGAGTCATAACTAAGGTACAATGACTCATAACTATGGTACAAATGTTCATTATTATGGTATAGTGACTCATTACTTAAGGTACAGTGACTAAGCATTATGACTCATACTAAAGTACAATGACTTATTATGACTTGACTAAGACATAAAGGTGATGAAGACTTGACATAAGGTTGTCTTGATGTGAAGGCATCATTATCAATTTCTGTGGAGTATTCTGGAGAAAACTGAAATTAGCACACGTAATTATAAAATATTTGGACTGAAACTGAGAATCTTCTGTCTTGTAGCACTATCATTTGAGAGAACGTTGAGTGTGTTCTGGAGAGAGGTTAAGGTGTGAATTGTCTACGTCTGGTATGAAATCATAGTCGAAGTTTTCTAACCATTGATCTGGATCAAAATCATCAAGTGGGTCTTGAGAATCTTGCCATTCCATTTGTGGGAGAACTTCAGGAGGTTTCCAATAAGGATTCCATTCTACTAGGCTTGTATGGTCAAGTTTAAATCTGATAGTTTCAGAAAGAGGTTTTGTCTAAGTACCATCAAGGCGAGTTTCATAAATTTTTTTATCAATTTTGAGCTGATAAGTGTACTCTGAAGGATAGTTTCCCCATGAAACTTCATCTTGGAGCTCTGGCCAATTTTGCTTTGGAAACTTGTGATTCATTTCACAAATTTGTCTCTGAAATTCAGTGTATTCAACTAGGTGATCAAACTGAGAATCAAATAGCGAATATCCTTGGGAGCTGTAAATTGCTGCATAGGAGAAATACTGGGGGTCTTTTGTCAAACTGTTGCAAGATCTGTGAAAGATTAAAACAATATGAGGATCAGGAAGAACTTTTGTATATCTCTCATAGGTTTCAATCCATTGGATCCAAATGGGAATAGGTCTGAACCAGGTGAAGAAAAACTTGAGATGTTGTTGACTGGGGTCCAACTGGTGTTTGATAGGGTTGATGGTTGAATACTGAAAAAGGTGAAGAAGGGTTTTGAGCTTTGGAAGTGAAAATTCTATACCAATATACTAAAGGTGACAAAGGTACCATATAAAATAAACTGTTTCTTTTGGGAAACAAAGAGGTTCAGGGAATTTAAAGGGATGGATAAAAGGATAATCAGGGAGTATACCAAGAGATTGAAAATATGTGTCTCCAAACTTTCTGAATGTTTTGGACTGGTATTTGAGCAAAAGATGTGAGGCTTTTTGGTCAAGGGTTTGAGTGACAAGAAGTCTGGGTAACTCTAGAGGGAGATTTTTCACGAAAAGGTTAAGGAATTCATCAGGTAAATCAAATTCATCATCAAGATGAGGTTTCTGAGAAGAGGAGAAAAAAGGGTTGTTGAAAGAAGAAGGTGTTGGGTACATCATGAAAATGACTGGAATAACCTGGAAAGTGTTTGAAGGAGGTTTTTGAAGGAGGTTTCGAAGGAGGTCTTATGAGCATGTCTGGGATGAGATTATCTTTTCTTTTTATATGTGCGGTGGTGAAAGAGTACTGTGAGAACCACTGGGATAGCTTGAGTAACTGTGTATTTGGCATTTTCTTCTTTTTAAAATTGAGCATCTGATCAAAGGTTGACATATCTAATTCCACGAGAAAGTGAAATCCAATGAGGTGAAATTCAAATCTTTGGATACCATACTTTATAGCTAAAATCTCTTTTAGTGTAGAGTGATAATGGAGTTTCGAATCTTTGAATTTTTTGCTTTTGTAACCACAGATTTGTCTGGTTCCATCTTTTTCTTCTAAAAGGATTGCTGACCAGAACTGTTCACTAGCATCTGTCTGCAATATTTTTTTTTTTATCTGAGGGAATCTTTAAAGTGGAAAGTGACTTTGCTTTTATCTTCAAGGCTTGTACTGCATTTGTCTGGACTTGAAACCACGTGGGTGATTTTTGTTTGAGCATCTGTCTGAGTGGATATGTGAGCTGGGCAATATCTGGGAGAAATTCATTCATGTAATTGACTATATCGAGAAATTGCTGGATTTGCTTCTTTGAGAGATTTGCATCAGGGAAATCTGCAAGTGACTGAGCAATATGAGGTTGAGTAATGTACTGACCATCTTTAAGATGCATGCCTAGGAAATCAATTTTTGTAGTATCAATGATCATCTTTTTCTCTGAAAGCATTATCCCATACTGTTGAACAATGCGCTGGAACTTATCTAATAATTGTGCATGAGATGTGTCATCAGAAGAGAACAGTAAGATATCATCGATGTAAATCAAGGCATTATCAAGAATTGGAGCAAATATCTTGGTCATGATTTTCTGAAACAGTGAAGGAGCAACTTTTAATCCAAAAGGCATTACGGTCCACTGGAAGTGGTGTTGAGGAATGCAAAACGCCGTTTTGTATCTGTCCTGTGGATGTATACCTAGTTGTCAAAATCTTGCTTTGAGATCAAACTTTAAGAAGACTTTTGCATTTGCTAAATTTACGAACAAAGTTTTTCTGTCTGAAAGAGGAAACTTATCATCTGCAAGGAAAATGTTAAGAGGCTTGTAGTTGATTACCAATATGAGTTTTCCATGAACTTGTTCTGAA